CATTTATATAGTGTACTTGGAGTATTTGTAAATTAACTGTAGTTTTTGTACAATGTCCAGGAAGGCAGCTCATCTTAAACCTGAAAGATCTATTTCTTTATGTAGACTGAACTGGCCATTATCACCGCTGAAAGACAAAAGTCTTTCTTACTCTAAAACTTTAACACCTTCTGTTTCCAATGTTATTTCAATGATTCTTACAGAGAAATTACACTTCCTGAAAAATAATCAATTCTACCAACATCTGATACCAGCACAGAGCTGCACGTGTGTCACGTTCAGCTTAATGGCCTCACAGTTTGCTGCTGCCACCAAAATGATGAACCATTGTTTTAAAACACTTCCAAACCCAGCACTGAGCCTCTATTGTTTTTAGGTCTTGTATTTTCCCCTCCTTAAAAGGTGAGGTGCCAATCAAGCAAGCCTCCAATTATGACTCCTTAAAGGCAGTATTGAATGTCCGACGGTGAATGGAACTTGTTAAGTACGTCTCTGTGCTGGCTTTGAGACATGACTCCTCAGAGTGAAAGTTACTGTCACTGTGTAACAAAAATACTTTTACAAAACCCTCAGGCATTTCTGTTAAATTTGGTCTAAAAGAAAGAAAGGTGCTGATTGAAAAAAAAAAGTGTAACCTTGTTATGTTGTTTTATTTTAGTGCTGCTTTTTGCAAAGCTTCTCCAGCATTCAACGAGTTTCATCATTCACTTGAGACAAGACACCAGTTAACAGCTGTTCTAACTTTCATCTCTAATGTTCTCCCATGTTTTTACCTTGTCAGATCTTTCCCCAGGACAGTAGCTCTGGATTATATTTTTATGACTCAATTTTCCATGAACAGAAAAGTGTAAAAACACAGTACTTCTTTCTATTCCTATTCCCAGCAACATTGGCATATTATATTATTATATGTACAGTATATATATGTATAGATGTGTATATATATATATATACTATTAATTAATAAATATTATTTCATATAATTCCCCCATCTAAACATCAAAAATTTAGATATAAACTAATATATTGGTAATATAAAAGAATAATAATTAATGAAACATTTTATATTATTAAATAGTTTGTAATGAAAATTTAAAAAATAAATCACTCCAAACTGGCGTTGGGGAGTTGCGCCACACTCTGGGAATCCCTGGGCTAGATCACATCAGATGAAAGACTAGATTTGAAAACCTCATATTTTTAGACTCCTTTTAAAATGCACGCATCCTGTAACTTATAATAAAGAACATGAATATTACATTAAATTATTTTGCTGCTGTGCTGTTGTAATGACAAGGGTCTGTAACCATGGCATTTGGATCGAGCAACGATGGGCGTAAAGAGTGTTGAGACCATGAATGAAAAAAAATCTAAATTTTCAGAAGAAAAAAAACGGCAATAAGAAAAGTTAAGGCATATTTCCTAAAAGGACAAATGCTAAAAGGCAGGAATGGGAATTCTAACTGGGGAGGTTTTTTTTAAATCCATCCGTGCAACCTAGTGTGACCGCGGGTCAGAACAAATTCAGCCACATCACGCCTCGGTCTCCTCTCCCCCGGCCGAGCCGCGGTCCGAGGTCACAGCACCAGCTGCAGTCGTGTGCGGACACGTAGCCTGAGGTCAGTGAGCACAGCAGACAAGAGTGCAGCTCACCCATGAGACGCACTGACCCGTTTACAGCAGCACATGGTAGGAGGAGGACTTTCTAAAAGCCAGTACACACTGAGAGGTTCATCTACATCCCACCGACACGGAGGTGAGGCACACTTCAACCTCAGAGGTGACAGAGGGCATGTTTTATTCAAGTGTGTAGTTTGTAGTTTGTATCATGAATAATCAAAAATAGATCATGTAATGTTTATATGCTACCAGTGAACAACGACCACGTGAACACCGTGTCTGAAAACAGACCTGACTAGTCGAGTGCCGGACTCCACCGACAACAAAACATGGCAGCAGATACTTTAAAGACTGGCTCCCTGAACTGGACCGGTTTACAAGGCAGATGATGTTTGATTTGACTGAGATCTAGGGAATGTTGAAATGTGGAATTCCAAACCTCAAACTCACCACGTGGGACTTAAACTATTTAGGAATTTATTATTTTGCTTTCAAATACTACCGTTCACTTCACTAGTCCAAACCACCCACAGTCCAAATCCAGGCAGGGTCATTGTAACTGGACAATAAAAATTCACAATAGGTATGAATGTGATTGTGGATGTTTGTGAACGTGTGGCCCTGTATGTAACACACCAGTCAAGAGTCCAGCATGTACTACCATACGGTACTGAGATCCTCTGTGGTGGAACATTTCTGTACCTGGTACATGCAATAAATCCAATCAATGCACATCTGGTAACCCTGTGTTATTTACTTGACATCAATGTGGTTTATAACACTCAAATCCAGATCAGCTCCACCCTCAAAGTTTCCCTGAAAAATTTCCTGGATAAATTGTTAAAAAAGTTAAAGCTCTGATTATTCTTCCTTTTCTGACCATCAGGTGACCTTTGACATTGAGCTCATTATTTCCAGCAATTCTTACTTGGTCAAAACTTCATCTTTTTTACGACAAATGGCTACAGGGGTCTCAAACCCCTCAGCCTGTAGGCCACTTTCACCCCCCAAGCTCAATAATGTCAATAATGATTCAGAAATGCTGGATTTGTTTGAATGTATTTTTGATTGTTTACTATGTATTATACAGACCAGACAAGCTTCTGCTACATCTCCGGTGTCAGTAAACCTTTTGACTAACACTGCCTGTGTTAATTTGCCACTTTGTATTTTTTAACCTGTCTGTGTCTAATGTACTACTGTCATGATCAGAGATCTGACACTCCTGACCTAAACTATGTTGGAGAAAACTTTGCAGTGACTCACTGTGTCTTTGATTCTCTAGAAACAACACTGACACACTAATGCGTGTTCACACCAGCTCCAGCCAGTCTGTCAACTGTCACGCTGTCATAGCAACTGCATAAATCCTACGTGGCAGGTTCTGAAAAAAATTTAAAAACTAACGCTGTATATTGATTAATCTAATTAATGAGGAGTTTCGCCGATGGGGGGTACATGTGGTGCAGGGACGTTGATATAGCACACCCATTTACCCCCCACTACTGGATATCACAGACATGCCCGGAAGTCTTGTTGGCACAGCAGTAAGTGTCACCGCATGTGAAAATGGAAACCATGAAAGGAGGTCAGAAAACCTGCTGAGGAGGAGATTTCTAACATGATTTATAGGCAGGGGATGGATTTTATATTTTCTGTTTCTAATTGAGAGATGTAATATTTTTAAGGCAAGGGTGTCAGCCTTAAGTCATAGCTGTGTTGCCGCCTGTGGGTGATCACCAGTCTACAAGGCTAAATAAGTTCCTCTTTCACCTAGATATTTTTTTATAATTATAAAGTTTATAAAATGACTTTGTTATTGTGCCAGCGTTACCATGCCCTTTTTATGACCACATTTCATCCTCTAGAAAGTTAGCTACTCTTTAATATTTCCACCGTCAATAATTACTGTTACTGAATCGTTTGGTTTATACCTGCGTAAATTGTATTAAAACTGCGATTAAAGCAGTAATGTGATCCCAGACTGGTCCGAGATTAATCACAGGCAGCATTTGGTTTTTATTACTTCTGTCTCACTTTCGGAGTGAATGCTGTGTAAATGAATGTGCCTCTTAAACAACCATGAATAATTAAAGTGATAAGCAGCAGTCTCAGCAGTTACAGATGCTGCTAAATGATGCTGGTTGTTTGTTTCTCCGACTGATCACTCTCCCAGGTGTTTCGAACCAACTTTTCACCACAAACGCGCTTCATTAATTACCAGCCTATATAGGGAAATTAAAAGTGTAATGGAGCTGTGCCCTCTCTGCCAATAATGCACAGTATGAAGGAGAGGTTCTTCAACTGAGTCTTACACTTAAAAGAGCTGAAGCTGATAGCCCTGATGAGTGGAGTAATTTGACCTGGGAGTGGATGCTGAAGAAGGTAAAAACCCAAATAAAATAAAAGTTTAAACTGACTTTCAAAAAGGTACAAACGATGCTTAAGTGAGGCAGACCTATAGGAGGAGAAAAAAAAAAGAAAGCAGCAGTGCGTGACTCGCATCTGAAATTTCTCCCACTTTTGTTTAAGGCTTCTTGTGAATGCTTGAGGGGATGAGGAAAAATCAATGGGACGCCTTAAACGCTGAGATCTTCCATACCACCTTTAGCTGTGATCTCATCCGTTACATGTCTACATTCACGTACTTTTGCTGCAAGAAATCCAGGATGTCCAATTCCCAGCTTCATGGCTGTACCCCGTGTCAATCAAGTGAGACCATAGCATCAATTTTGTGTGTCAGAGTGCAGCATGCTTATGGAATATTTATGACAGCAGAAGTCTAAAGGCTAAAAGATGAAAAATCAGGAGACGCAGTGAGCTCGACTTCTGTGTGTACTGGCAAAGGATTCTGCAGTCACAACAAGACAGAGAGAGAAAAAAAGTGTGTGTGTGTGTGTGGGTGTGTGTGTGCGTGTGTGTGTGTGCGCGACCTTAAGGTAATGGTAGGAGGGTGAGGGAGGGATGAGGGATAAAAAGGGAGCAGGGAGGAATAAATCAATAGTGCACGTCTGTGGAGCGTGGGGCTGTTCGCTGCAGTTGCGTGATTGACACCTCACTGGGGTGCTGTTTCTGAGATGATGTTCATCTCCTCTTTCTGATCCTGACACCTCCTTTTACAATCTATGCCCCTCCCCCAACACACCCCCTCCTCCAGCACACCCTGTTGGCTTTGGATGCTCGCTACCGTTTGCATCCCTAAGCCATCAGGTTGTCAAACAAAGACTATACATTACTGTAGCAGTGCAGAGTCTCTTTTTATATTTGCCACAAAAAAAAACAAAACCTTAAGGTCACTACAATTCCACCAAACTAAATTCCCCGTCTCACAAAGTTGAGTGATTAAAATACTTCCAACAATTCCTCCTCCGTCTGTCTGACTTGGATGGTGATGTCGACGTATTATGTGGGGATAATGAGTTTATACAGTGCATGAGGAAATAAAGTGGTGCTGCTAATTATGGAGTTAATGCAGTGGAGAGAAAGAGATGATGAAACGCTGCCCAGGTGAGACCGGTGTGGGCGTGCACTCTGGAGAACGTGTCACACAGTACAGTAGGTCTCTGTGTGGGAGTGCAAAGGGTTCACATGTGTGCATTTAACCGACATCCAGTTCGATCACCATCCATCACCACAGGAAAATAAAACAGAATAATGTGTGGAGTGAAGTAGCAGAATCAGGATTTTCTTTTTCAAAAATATGACCATATTTTGGCAGGGAAACTTTCAGTTTTTACTGTTTTTAAATGTATTACTTTACAGGTGTAGCCTGTTTTTGTTGTTTTTTTCTGAATATTGTTGTTTTAATTTCTTATTGAATATTAATTTCAGGAGACCCTGTCGTTTGTGTATTTATTTGAAACAGATTTCTTTAACAAGAGTTCTCTCTTTAAAGCCACCATCTACATATCTGCAAAGTAAACCATATCAGTTCCACTGATCCTGGAGAACCATTTCAATTTCTTGTGAGTCTCAAAAGATTTTCCGTGTAACAGCGTCAAAGTGATAGAGTCCCTGCGTAAAAAGACAAATTACCATTTCTCCCAGATTACTGCGAGCATCAAAAATGGAACATGTTCATGAACACAAATCTTTTCAGCTGCGCTCCTCAAAACCACAGTGTAATATTGTACTGCATACACACACTGCATGTAGAGCAGCTTCTTCCTATTTTCTGGTTTCTCACGTGCCACTCGTTCACCATTGTTTCCTCTTTTCTTCAAAATACAACAACATCTAAACTAATCAGCCCAGTTCCCTTTTTACAAACTTGGAATCCTTGCCTGAGCGTCACACCCCTCCCAACAATGACCACCAGATGGCATAGTGACAAACGTTTCTCCGCTTGAGAGAAGTGTCACGTCTGTCCCCCATCTTGACGAAGCGTTCAGCACCTCGGGGCATGTCCATGCCGGTCCCCGTGCCAGGCACTGAAGGCTTGTCAGCTGTTGCCCGACCAGTTGCCACAGCCTCAGATGCTACTCATTTGCAGGTTAATGTATTTTGGGGAGAGTTATGTCAAAGCGCTGCTGACCGAAACAAGTCAAGCATCCAATTAGAGCAGAGCAGATTTGGGGGAAATTCACATTAAGCAGCTGGAACTACAGCTGGACAGAGAAGTGCAGTTTTGTCCACAGTGAGGTTTAGAAAACGGCTTCTTACTGTGAAAATGGTGTTGTGGTTCTGGGTAGTTGTCCGTCTCTGGCAGGCGTACTGAGAAACTGTGGCCACAGTCCTGGGTTTACAACCATCTGCTGGCTTGATGTCCTGTGTGCACAAATGATCAGAGATGCATAACCAGAGACAAAAACAGAGCCATATCTCTGAGCCTCTGTAAACTGTCAAAAGGCCAAATGTGTTCAGAGTTATCGCTGATGGAACAGAACTGAGCATTCAAATTGAATTACATAAAAATGCAGCCATTTGCTTTTGAGACTCTTTTTTTTTTGCATTGCATGACGGCAAGTCTCCAGGGCAACAGGCTAATGACACTCATCTCACAGTCTGGTAGCATCCAAATCCATTACACTGCCTAACCTGTGGCATTACAAATCTGCCTGCTATCATCCAATTTGCTGCGTGTAAATTGCCTTTTTATGCGGTTGAGAAAACGATTCCCCGTTTGTAAAATGTGTCAAAAGGATTACCAATGTAATATTAATATTTTGCAGACAATTAGACATGACAAAAGGGAACATTATGTCCCTAAATTCACCAGCAGGAGGAGTGGGATGTTAAGTTAAAGAAATAAAGAAGAAGTGGAAACAGACGCGTGATTGTCAGTGCACTGTGTTGACTACCACAATGATGCAGGCAGGGTTGATCATATATANTATATATGATATATTTATATAGACAACTTTTCTCGATAAAGAGTCTCTGAGTCTCTAAAGCCATCTCTGCCAGCAGCAATGACTCTAAACTGTAGCTACATCTACTGTTGCAGTTGCACCATCACATATGTTGGTTTTCCATCTCTTATTGGAAAAAGGATATTGTAGATGGTTTATCTTTGACACATCGAAAAAAAACCAAGCATGATGAACACCATAAACTCCTGACCTCTGATCCACTTTGTTTTTAAGTCATCTCAGATGGCCAAGATATTCTTATTTCTACATAGTCTTGAAAAATACACACGTTTCGCAACAATTAAAAAAAAAAAATAACACCATGTTTCTCAGTAGTGAGAGGAAAGTACTCGCAGGGATGTCTCGCATTCAATCTAAAATAATCATTATGTAACTTAATTTCCCAAAGGGAACTCCCAAGTGACTAATAGATGGATAGATAGAAAAATGGGTTGGTTCTGAGGTTGATTCTTGTTGAGTTGTGAGGTTTGTATGTGTAAACTGAACTTTATTTGTCTTCTAACACAGTGTGGCGCAGTGGAGAGATCCTGAGAGAATCAGAATTCATTTGCAGGTCTACCATAATCTGTTAGTTTCTCAATGGTTTCCTGAGGAGAATGTAGAAAAGTTTCATAGGAAGAAGCCTGTTTTGTGAACATAGTAGGTGTGAGTTGTAGCTCACAACTTTTTCATCCTACCTATGACGTTTAAAACACATTTGCGGTTTTGCGTTTCATGGAGATTGGAGCAAATATCAGCGTGACTATTAACACCACCGCTGTCTGTGAGGTGAAAACAAAGATACAATCTGACAAGTGTGACTGCAGGAGACGAGTGTTTACTTCGCTCCACAGGAGGGGGTGGGGGCAGGAGACAACATATTCTCTTCATTTTGGATCCGTATGCTGGCAAGCTGTCACAGCCGCAGCCACTCAGGAGAAATTTGTGAAAGTGTGTGTATTTTATTTACAGGGTTGCTCTGACTGATGCCGTGCAGCTGATGAGTTCATCTCACACATTTTTGTTACTATCAGCGAGGTGAAACGCTGGGCTAAAAACTCACACGGAAGCTTTTTTTTTTTACATATAGAGGTTTTGCTTTCAAGGAAAACAAAAAAACCTAGTCACATAACATAATGTAAAAAAAGAGAAACCTCTGTTTTCTTCACACCAGTTCCCATTTCACTGTAAACGTCTGTGTGACTCACTCACCTGAATTTGATGTCTGGTTTCTACAGCAACAGGTCTGCCTTCTCTCATGCTCTCAGTGAACCAGCTCATGTTCAACACTTGCACAGAGGTCAAAGTCTTCAGGTGGCAGGTCTTCAGCCACGTCCACAGTGATGAGGACTGGGTGTCCTCTGATACAATGTGAGTGACTGCATCGCTGTCCGGAGAAGATGAAAACTGTTTCAGTGACTGACTGGTTTCATTTGGATCATTTACCGCAAATTTAACTCCAAATGAAACGTTAGTCGTTTCTACATTAATCAAAGTTTGTCAGAAATGATGAATAATGAAAAAATATAAGAGATTGGTCAACGCAACTAAAAGATGGAGGATAGTAGTAGAGAAATAAGCATGTAGATTAGATTTCTACACAAGAAACAGTCTAGAAACAGTTAGCCCAAGCCGTGACCACAGGATCTGAAGTTAGGTCAAGAAGAGTCAAACATACCAAAACATTTGGAATGTTCACATCCAGATTGACCCATAAATGGTCAAGATAACAAAAAGTGAATGTACTTCATAAAATAATTTCATAAAGAAAAAAAGTGTAAATATTGGTCCAACATCAAGCACAATTACTATAATAATATTAATAAATATAAATATAGTAATAAATAATTAACAGAAGTAAAATAAATACATGAAAATATGATTTATTTTTACATATATTTTATAATAAAATAAAAAAGTAAAATAAATAAATAAAATTTATAATAAAATAAAAAAGATTTAAAAAAAAAAAAATTACCAAGAGTCATCTGGATTTATCACATTAGACAAGCCTAAATATAGGTCTTTAGAGTGACAAAAAAAAGCCAAATGATCCAAAGATTATGTGAGAGCACAAAGAAAAAAAAACAATTTAAACAAAAATAGGATTAAGTTAATATTCTTCAAAACTTCAAACAAAATCCTAAAACAGATATTTTTAATGGAAATTAAATGAAATTAAAATAAATGACTAATTGTGACTAAAGTTAAACAACCAGGAGTGTGACTGTAACACTGAGAGCACATACTGTCATCCAGTCTCCTCTGTAGAGGAACTTTTCTGAATAAAACATCAGAAAACTTATATAGCAATAGTTCATGTAAATTTCCCTCTCACTAATTACCTGAACATTCTCTGATGTTCACTGTGCCTCGGCAACAGCTTGTTTACCACAGTCTTACTGCTGTAGGTCTGGAGCAACCAGTGTGTCATGGAGCAGCTCAGAACACCACTGCCGTCCTTCACTGGACTCACTGAAGCCACAGTAACTTCCTGCTCTCTGCTTCCTGGAACACTAGCATGTACCAATCAGACTGATTACAGCCACACTTGCATGAGTAGCTTTAGCTCTTCGCTACCTGTGTCCTGACCTGGACCTGGAAACGAATTAGCTTCACTTCCTGATTTAAAGCAAACACATTTTTACCCATAAAGAAGAGAAACAAACAGGTGAGCTGCAGGAAATAAAATAAAATAAATCGTATGAATGGAATTGTTGATTCAAACTCTTGTTTCTGTTTCACTAAATGTTATTTATTGTATTTCAGTTATTTATTGTATTTCAGTTGTATTTCAGTTGTTATTTATTGTATTTCAGTTGTTCCCAACCCAACCCCCCCCCCCCCCCCCCACAGGCATCAAAACCTTCACAGCCTCGGCTTGAAACTCGAACAAACTTTATTTAAACACTGTTATTTATAGAAACCTGCTATTCTTGTTGAACAAAAGAAACACAATTACAAATGACGGTAAAATGTCCCCACCGTGGGACAAAGAGACAAAGAGTGTTATCGAAGACAATTGCAGGTTGCAAAAAGGAATGTAAATTGTCACAAAATCCTGGAAGTTAAACTAAAATTAAGGGCCAGCGTCAGACGGAATCAATGAAGCTCTGAGCTGAGACACGAGGACAGACAGCAGCCAACACACCCCCCGCCCCCCATCGGCAAAAAAAAACCCAGAACGGCTGCATTAAAACTATAAAAATGATTCAACCTCTTTACTTTTATAGCAGCTCCTGTTTGAAACTTAAATATAAAGTGAGTTTAAGAAGAAATAGGATTGAACTGAAATTTAAAAGAAACTGAGTTTTGCAGTTGAAGTTTGGTTATAAAATATTTGTTTGAGTGTTAAAAAAGCTGGCTGTAGGAGGAGACAGAGAGATGAGCCTGATCAGTTTTCCTTATTTTCTTTAAACATTGCAAACAAAGTAAAACTGAGAGATTTTTCTTTTTTAGTAAATGTGGAATGTGCTGCATTGCTACAGCCCAAACGCCTCATGCTGAATGAAAATCTCCTGGGAAATTCTTTAATGTTCTTACTTAGTATTTTTTTTTCACAGGCCTCTTGAGTTTTTAGGAGGAAACTGAAGCAAAAAGTAAACAACCCACAGAAAACCCAAAAGACAACTCTTCAAACCAGAGAAAAGCCCCAAAAAGCCTGGTTTACAACATTACTCACCACCACGCATGAAGAAGAGGCGCACACCACTAACCTTGTTGTTGTGAGGCAACCGCTACTAGGTGCTGCTGCTACCACCACAGCTAACCTTGAATGACAAAAATAAACTTGGTCTACAGAGGCCTTTTCAATTAATGGATGAAATAAAACTCCACATATTTAAATTCCATAAAAGCCTGTACTGCAATGTACTGCAGTACATTGGTAAATATATTCCACAGCAGCCTCCACTGAGTTTGAGTTGACTGGATATTCAAAAGCCTCATACACACAACGGTAATAAAAAGAGACAGGATGAGGTCAAAGGTTAATGATGATGCACCGTGTCTCTGGAAATAAGAGTGACGACTGCATTATGAGCTGCGCTGCAGTTTAGAATATTAGGCGAAAATTACAAGAACGAGCGAGGGAGATGTCGTTTCTAAAAGACTTATTTATAGCAGCTCATCCAACAGCAAGGACAAGTGTGTCAGCTGCAGCTGTCAGTCGTCCCCTCCAATCAGATCCGAATATTTTTAATGTTAAATATTAAAATTAAATTTTAATGTTTTAATGTTTTTTAAGCTCATCACCACATCTATACCAGGTTATTTTACATCCCACGTCCACTAGAGGCACTCCAACCAAATCTGTTATGTAACATTTGCATGTTTTTATATTATATATATTTTTTTTTTTTTCCCTTCGGCTTTGACCCTTTTTTACTCGTAGTCGAGCGGTACTTTAACAACTCTACACAACCCTTTTTTTCTTTTCTTTTTCTGCGTGTGTGTGTGTCTGGAATATGTCATTTTATTAAGGCTAGGCGGACAATGCGAGACGTTGTTATCAGACTGCAGCTGATATCAGTTTTGTCGTGTCAGTTTGAGGCTGGCGCGCTCCACTTCCTGTGGTGGGTCTCAAACTATTGTATCAAGCCAAGTGTAACCATAGGAGCGCTCAAGATGTGTTTCTGGGAATGATGCCACGGCCAGGCTGGCACCCGGCTGGCAGGAAGAAGACTTAGACATGCATTAAAACACACACACAAACACACACACCTGAGGGTTGTTCTAAACTCTTGAGGACCGTTTTAACAATAAAGAGACACGTCTGCATTTTTAAATTAAATGATTGCAGATTTAATGTCAAACATAAGCCCAACTCTGAGAATCAGAGTTTGGCGCTGCAGAGATATTTCTGGTGTGAGACTAAAAGCGAAGGAAGTACATTGTTGCCATAATTACCTCACAGTAGATGATTCATCAGTGTGAGAAACCAGCTTCCAAAATAACCCGTCTTTATGCAACCCACAAAAAAAAAAAAACTTTCACCCAGCAGATTAAGAAACTTGTTCTCAGGCTGATGTTGCTGAACCTTCCTGTGCTCTGTGGTGTTTTATAGCCTCTTTATTTGCCTCTCATAACCAACAAGGTGTGGCTAAATCAGACCCTTTTCTCTAAATAATTTCATGACTGGCCTCCAAAAGAAAAAAAACCTTTTATAACAAAATGTCAAAATGAATCACAGAAAGTCACAAAAAAGTTCAAGAAGAAAGGTTTACCTGGATTGCTGTGCTAAAATGACAGACGTCCATGTCTCTAATAGCACATGAAGTAGAGACACTTAACCTTTCTTTAGCTCAAACACTTGTACTGTCTATCAAAACCACTAAAGAACTTTACCATCAGAGTGTGGATAAAGTAGTATGGTAGAGTAAATATAATACTGCTTACACACCGGAAACTGAGAGAGCAGTTTTTGAGTGATCCTCAGACTCAGACGACTGGTCGTAAGGCAAAAAAACAGACATTGTCCTCCACCCTGTCCTGGAGAAAATCACAATCTGTTGGCAAATGAACTAAATTGTTTCCTCTATAACCTTTGGTCGTAATCCGTGTCCAATATATTCAAGACCAGTCAATGGACCATTATGTATGTATACTGGACCATGGTGATTGAAAACAACTAACAAGAAATGTTGGAGTGATTTGTGAGTCAGGTTTTACCAGGTTCAAACCTACAACCACGTCAACAGGAAACACTGCAAACATGAGAATTAAAGGTAAAACACCAAAGAGCTGAACATGAACGATGACGATAACATCTCTATACAAAGTCAGTGGAATGATTTTCCCAACCTGAGGATGCCGTCCACAATGAAGCCCTTTGACCTGGCCAGTTGGCTGAGGAAGCGCCTCCTGCTGCTTCCCATTTTCCTCTCCACTAGGTACAATCTGACATCCTTGAACTTCACCTCTTCACACCTGGGAGCGCTGGCTTCCTCCAGTCTAGGCCTTTTCTTTACAGGCTGCACAAAAAGAGAGCGAAACATTTCTCCTCTTATTCTACTCCTTGACCAGCTACTGAAAAGTATCTGTGTACCAGTACAACTTCCTGGTGCAGTGTGCTGCTTATCTTCCACCTGTAAGCCTTACTTGTTTTTTTGACAGTTGTAGTTTTCTGCCCATCATGGGACTTGCTGTCAGTTGGAGCAGGGTTGGTGAGACTTGGCAGACAGGAAAGGCATCTGGCAACAGGTGTTGAGGATTTGGTGTTTACCAAAAACCCAGCTGCCAAGTTTGGATGAGTGAAGATGTGGAGGAGGCAAACGTATAAACACACACACACTTGGCACCATTCTTTCAGGGCTTGATCGCTTTTTTTTGTATTGAAAGTTGAGTGAAGTTGTTGTAACTTTTTTTTTTCACTCTCCCGGCTGGTGTAATCTGCCATTCCTCAGAGACGCCTGGTCTCGGGACACCTCAGGAAACCTGTCACAGCTGTCCTGCCATGTCCAGTTTATGTCACCACTCACCTTCTCATTATGTCCGTTCAAAATCTGCACCATCTGCTCGGCTGCTTTAATGAGCCTTACACCTAAAGTGAGTGTTTTTGTGAGTCTGTCCCCCAAGATCCAACAAACATAAGCAGGGACTTTAGAGCTGTTGAGGATGTGATCAGCTGATGACTGAGGGGAACCATTCAGTGGTCAGTGATTAAGTTCAACTGCAGCTAACCTTCAGGAATGGCCATGCTGCAGGAGACCAAACATGATCATTTTGTACAAAAGCATGTTTGGGGGGAAGAGGAAGTGGTGTATGGGCAGTTCAATGATGACATTTTTGACAACAAAGAGTGACTGCACAGAAACTGGTACAGAAGCTATAAAATATCACCGTCAGAAAACTGATAAATTAGCTCTTTTTTTCACTTACTCTGCTTTGGAAAGAATTATAAGAGGGAAATTAAGAAAATGCTAAACATTCTAGTAGACTCTCTATTCTTTATGAGCTGTTAAAAAATACAGCAGCAGAATATTAGGTTATGCAGCTGAAATACAGATAAATGAATATTAGACCCAAATGGTAAAAATGGGAGAAAATGGCGAGGTTAACTGACAAATGTTAGTCGGAATAAAAAGAATTAAATAAAAAAAACAAAACAAAACAAGAAAACACACCCTTAGCTTAAAAAGGCCTTAATTACAAACAGACTATGGTACATTGAATTAATACTGTTTCTTTCACTTTAACAATCCTGATCCGGCTGGCTGCATAAGGCCGGGGTAATAAAAAACAATTTCATTGTCTAACACAGTGTTTACCAAACTTTTTTTCTGGGTACCCATATTTTAGTCCCAAACCTCCACGACCCAAGTCAATAGACATTATTCGTAAACTCCTGGAAAACATGATGTGAGACGACCCAAAAGAAAATCTTTTGTGAACCACCTGAGTGTCGCGACCCAGTATTTGGGAAACAATGGTCTGTAAGAACAGATATAGTTGCGTATTAATACAGCTGAAATGAGAGAAGGAAATTCAATACCAGCTCACAAAAAGCAAAAAGACAGAAATTGTAATGTTAGCCAATATAGTTAAAAATAAGCTAAAAAAAAACATCCTCCCTGCTAAAGGCCACAATTACAAACTACGGCACATTAATTTAACACTGTTTTCTTCAATTGAACAGGCACACCTTGAGTATGTCTGCTGCACGCTAGATTTCATGCAGCTCTCATTAGCACTGAGATCCCAGGGTTAACGGGTGTCAAAGTGCAGACACAACTAATTGTCGGATGATTTAGCTCCAAATCATTCAGCTGTTATATGAGAGGCCTGGCCTCCATCCAAACAGAGAGTAATGGAATTGTTACTGTCTCAGTACGAAGAACTGCCGCCACAAAAGGCAATAGGGAAAACCTATAGTGATAGTGAGTAAGGTGCAGCTCCAACCACCAGAGAGGATTCTGTTATACCTGATAACACAAAGACAGGTCAAAAGGTTCCCAGACTGGTGTTATTATTTCTAAGAGGGTCCTTGTTTCAGCATGACATCCATACAGTGTGCATAGTTTTCTTACATTTTATGTGATCTGATTTGAACTGATTTGGTGTGAGACAAGCATATGACATGCATATCATTTTTTTTTTTGCTCGTCAAAGCATGAAAGGCAGAGCGATTAAAACCTCTTCTGCTAGGTGGCAGCAGATGGCTTTAAAAACTAAAAAAAATAAACAGAGCTGTTGAAGATGTGTGTCTTTCTTCAATTCCTGTCTTCAACTAAACAAGCCAAGATTTTAGTCAATTATGAGGTCATTTAAACTAAAGAGATTATTATATTTCATTATGTATCCTTTTTTTAGTTTGGTGATGTGTCGTGGCTCAAAAGAGGTTAGGAAACACTGGTATACTGTTATAATCACAGAAGTCTGTTTGGCTTTAGTTACGTCTGCTTTTTCTTTTCCCTGAAACTGAAAGGAACTTTTAAAAGGAACTTGAATTCCGTCCTTAGACGTGACACTAAACTGCAGCAAATGTAGAGAACGAGTTTCCTACTTTAGAAGATAAAGTTTTTATTCAAGTTTAGACTTCACCGTCGAGGATTATTCTTTGTGAATGCAAAAATATCACATGTAAGATGTTGAATACTACCACATGTCAACAGAAAACTAAACTGCATCCAGGAGTCCAATGGTAAATAGTCACTTTATGTCAGTTATATTGATTTTTGAGGAAGTCTTTTCTTCCTCTTTTTAGAAACCCCCATGCAATCTTCGTGGGTGTTTTTTTCACCATAATACCATTGATTACCATATCAGGATGAAGTAAAACAACGAACACGCTCTGGTGCTGATGACTTCACCTCCCTGTCTGAGCTTTGCTGTGGTCAAATGTGTCGGTGTGTGACAGACGGACTATTACTGTAAATCTAGATGGTCGCAGGTTCCCTGGTGTCACAGAAATGAACCTGCCGTCCAGAGAAGAGTGCGAGGGCTGGGACCAGGCGCAAGTAGTCCTCTTCATGTGTAAGGTGAGTGTTAGGGAGGCGATGATTAGACAGTAGACAGAAACTAACAAATACTGAAGGGAACAGACCACTGTTTTTTAGCAGTGTCATCAAATCCTATGCCGTGTATTTAAGAATTACACCTGTAAAAACGTGCTGCTGTCCCGCAGAACAACATGCAGGATTGTGCCACTACTGTGAAGAAACTTCGGATAAATGGACAAAGACTTCTGGTAAGTTACATTTATATATATATATATTTATATATATATTCTATTTTATTCTGCTTTGGGTTTTTTACATATTTTAATCAATTTTGGATCATATTTTGTTGTGGCTGATGATTATTATTGTTAAATTTAATGATTTTATACATACATATGAATATACCCTGTGTTTATATAGAGATGTATTGATGTGTAACATGTGTAAGATGTTGACAGTTCCAAAGAAGGAAAAGCTTACAGGTTCACATGTCAACTGGGCCAGGTTCACATTGACTCACTGTTTGTACAAAGGGGAAGTGTGAGAGGGTGTCAGTTATACAGTAGTACTCTAAAATAATGTTGTCTCATATGTGACATCAACAGGTAGCATTGGGATATCACTTTAAATCTCACGGTGTTGAATAGAATAGAATAGTCAACTGTGCAAAATAGAAAAAATAAATAGTAACAATAAAATTGACAACTGTACTGTTCTTGAAACAGATGCAGGGCAAACAAACGTTGAGGCTAATTATACAGTATCAAAGCAGTAGCTATTAAAGCAGGCATGTGTGTGTGTGTGCACAAATAGCCGTCCCGCTGCTTGAGACCACACAAAATAAGACATTGCTAATTGTTAAAAGTGAAACATGCAATTCTGGTTGTATTATTATGGTAGTTTACTTTAGTTTTTTGTTTTTTTGCATAAGAAATGGAACCCATTTTACATGCTTACTGTTGGTAGTGCTACAGTAAGCATGGATTTAAATGCATAGTTAAATAATTCACATAAACCTGTGCATTGTTTTAAATAACCAAATTAACTAAACTACAAAAAACAAAAAAATACATAATAAATAGGAAAAACTATTACAAAAACAAAACCTGCAGAGCGACCAATTCCGTTTTTAAATGTTTGTTTGAGTCATTAGGCCTTTGTTGAGCTACATGGAAACGGCAACGTGCCATTGGTAGTTTGCAAGTGACCACTGCTTTAGTGTTTCTTGAATAGTTAGATATTTAGATGGATGGATGGATGGATGGATGATAGATAGAAACCCTTCAGGAAATGTAGTTACTTAGTTAGTTGGTTTTACTCCAGTGGTCTCTGGTCAGCTTTGAGGACTTGGTAAGAGAAACAGTCTGCTCTGCCATTCATTATTGACTGCCCCTGAAGGTGCTCCACTTCAGGTAAAATATTGCATCACTATTATTTTTTGAAATTCCTCAACACATGACCACAGAGTATTGTCCATGGAAATGCGCCCTCTGTGGTTTTACATCATCCAGTGTTATTAAAGTTTCACAGGGGAGACTTTCATGTGCCAGTTACCACAGAAGATCAGAAACATATTTTACATACAGAGAATAGGTATTCCAAGCTACTGCTCTATCACCAGGGCTGTGTGAAGGACGTATGAGGAGACACACACGGACTGGCATATTTGACAAATAACCATGTTATTTCTATATACTGTACATGGGCTAATGCGTATTCCTATAATTCTAATATTATCGTTCTAACTGAGGAAAGTCCATTTCTACTCCTCCTCCTGTTCCAGTTGATAGTCTCTGCTTGTGTGTAAGCAGTTTCTTTATGAGGCTTGTATATACTGTGTGCAACAAGTTGATAATATGAATGGACGTCTATATAAAAGTACAAGAGAAAATCTGAGACATGGCCTGACTTTACACCAAATAAATGCAGCTGGAGTGGCTAAGGAGCAGAGAAAATGTTCGATTTTCAGTAGGATTTTCTTTTTTAAACATTCAAACACAAGGGCTGTTGGTTGATACTGTATACTTATACACACAATACATACAGTATATATTTTGTGTATGTGTTTCAACACTAACTTTATGAACACCTGACTACAGTGTGTTTCAAAGACACCTAAAATATTGGTGGGAATTATTTTTCACATTTCATTTTTCCACAATTTTCTCATTGTGGGACAAATAAAGGACTTTCTTAAATTCTTAATTTATAATAATATACTCTCATTGATATAATTATGTTTCCAAACAGAATAAAATGGATGTCAAGGTTATGGATGGACGTCACATTAAGTCATCTGTATCTTCATATGGTAACAGAGACATAGAGCGGAGAGTTAGCTTTAGTATTCAAGGCCATTACTCTAAGGCCGGCTGTCATAATAATGTAGGTCCTTTCCTGTGGTCGACTTGTAAAAATAGAGACACTACAGTCAGGTGATGTACATCTTTTAGATGCAAATCAACAGGCATGCAGATAAAAAGATGTATAGAGTATGTCACAGATGTCGAGAGTATATCAAAAGCAATGGTGACACTGCAGCTGGTTGAAAAGATAACTTTGAAATCTGATAATAAACAAAATACAAAGCCACTCACATCATCCTTTTCATCTTCACTCTTGCAGCTACGGCAGCATGTAAATACTAGGAGTGCTTTGTTAATGGTAAAAAAAAATCCTCTTGATTTTGAGCAACGACACATTTTATAAAATTCTCCCACAAAGCCGATATAATAAAATACATTGTTCTTCTAGTTTAAATTCACTCACAATGAACTACTCAGTGTGGGCCAGTTTAGTTGAACACAATGCTGATACACTCGCAGGAAATAAGGAGAGACACGGGATGATGAAGATCAACAATTTGAATAATTTCCCACGGTACACGTGATGATCTGTCACAACACACAAGTGTCTCATGTTCTGAGGTAATTAAACAGTTGATTTGAAGTTTAAGCGAAGTATTTATAGTTACTGCAGAGGGAAGATTGTTCTTATTCATATTAATATAAAAGGTGTTGAAGGAGTTTGGATGTTCTCCCCGTTCTCTCTAGTGCAGGCGTTTGAAAATACCTCTTAGTACAGTCGTAGTACAGTCGTAGTACAGTCGTAGTACAGTCTTCACAGCCATATTAAGGTAACACACACAGACTGAGAGAAATAAAATCACATACAAAAACAGCTAAATCACCTGTAAAGGACGCTGGAAAGTTATGTGATTGCGTCCTGTCTAACACAGTAAACTCATGTAAGACTGCAGCTTGTTATCTCATTAAAACAAGCACAGACAATCCCATCAATTATGCATTGTTAGAGCAGAGTCTGAGTATCCACCAGGGCGCCCTGTTGGATGTTTTATGTGTGATTTTACAGACAAAGAGTTTTCAGTAAAAATCGAAGGACGAGCGAGAGCTCGTCTCAAGGAGGAAACACCTTTCAAATGAGGCTTTTTATGTATGAACAAAATAAAAATATTAATAAAAATAATAGTAAATCATAGGTTAAAGTATGATTAGATAAATAACCTTCACTATATTATTTATTCCTAAATAATGACCACTGCAAACACTAAACCTGATTCAGTAACCTTTTCCAAGAGCCTTCTCTTCGTGTTCTTTATCTGACAAGTCAAAAACAGTTCCATACATTTGTCGACATGGATCTTACTACACACAAAACAGTAGAGCGCGGAGCTGCTAATGACTTGGAGCCATGAATTATGAATGAAGAGAGGGAATACATCATTTAGAAGGATTTGTTGCATATTTTATGATAATCATTTCCTTTTCATTTACAGGTCCTTTTGTAAAAGACATTAAAATCCAATCAAGGAAATATCACAGAGCAGCACAGACTGACAATGACTTTGTGACTTTAAACGTGCGAACCCAGTGTTGGTTAAAAGTCTGCAAAATGTCGTGGAGCTGCCATTTGAAAATGTGGATCCTAATTTCTACGGAATTATTGTATTTATAGAGCAGGTTACATTAGAAACAGGAAATCCCAGCAATGTTCTGTGATATAAAATGTTTATTCATTTTACATCGTTATCTTCCTCATTTAAAATGTGGGGATTCTTTTTTCCCCTTTTTAGTAAGATGCTGCCCTCTCCTGTTTACTTACAGGCAATGCACATGAGTAGTACGGCCACTTGTCAGTTGAAAATACAGTTTGCAGGACCCACTTAAAAAAGAATAATAATAATATAATATAGTATAATAAGAGTTTTATGTTAACGTTGGGAAGATAACATTTTACAGTGAGTCTTTAACCAGTAATGTCTGTCATACCAGGTCACTAATTTAAAACATTGTCTGATGGTCTTTTTACAAAAACAATGTAACGCAGAGGTCTTCAACTGGGGGTTCACAACCCCAAGAGAGGGCTCGTCAAACTCACTGGAAGGGACCAAATTTAAAATAAAGAATAAGTTGTGGCCCAAACACGATTAACACTTATTATTATTATTTATAATAATAATATAAAAAATCTTTAACTTGATTTTCTTGACTTACATGTTTTTACCTTTGAGCCAATTTGAGTTGCCTTCCACAGCTTTTTGTCTGATTCTTTCACAGAACCTGTCCGACAGTGACCTGAGCAGGTTTAGTCTCATTCACCAACCGTAAGTAAGACTTTAAAACCATTGTCTTCTCCTGAAGTGAATTCTATATCATTTCCCAACTAAACCAGAAAGCCTTTTCTGACCCTCCTCTCTTCCAAAATAAGTACAAACACCTCATTATTTTCCGTTATGTATCAAATATATATCAGAGAGCAAATATTTGATATTTTTATATGCACACGTCTATAGCCATTTTGGTCAAACCCACATTCACCAACATTTGAAGCATGTGTGCACCTACATGTTTGTCACCAGTGTTTTTGTGGTCGTGCGGCCCCTTCCTGTTTCATCTATTCCCTTGAGTCTACGTGTTTGTGTGGATGTGTGCTTTCATTTCTCTCAAAGAAGAACTGGTGGGCTTTACTACAATTAAACAAAAGATTTAAAGATTTGGACCCAAGAAAACATAATGAGGTCATTTTGTATTTACATTCATGGCTTTCATCATCAATATATTTACAAAACACATCCATTATCACAGAGCCCTTTCCACAGAGGGCTCTCAACCACCGGAGCAGGGACCAGCACCAGCACCAAGCCTGTGGTCTTTTCAGTGCTGAAGTCATGGTAGATTTTTTATGCACTGCTAGGACTTCAAGGAGAAATGTTCTGTTGTGCTGTAAATGTTTTGCACATTTAGCCAGAGTAGTAGTAGTCAGACTGCTACACCTACAGTCAAAGAAATGACTGACTGGACTTAGCCAGTAACTAAAACAGAATTCTTTAAAATATGTGCAATATTTGGTCAGAAGACAGTTTTATCGACCCTTCATTACTCACCATCATGATGATGATGATCATGGTGATTAACAATTGCATAAGACAAGATGTGACAATGATTAGGAGGAGTTTCTGTTGATTGGTCAACCATTTAGGATCTGGGAATTTAAACTGCTAGTCCTCTGATTACTCAGTTATTTTTCCACTGGGTCAAGGGTTGCCATGTTTTGACATTTGTTTCCACAGTGAACATTTTCGTGGCAGAGCAGAACTGAAAACTCAGCACATTTAGGCTTTATTAAAATAGCCAAAGAGTTAGGGGGAAAAAAATGTGGGGAAAATTCAAATTTCACATTTACATTTTCAACTTAAACATAAACATCTTTCTAAACATTTCAAAACTTCTCTCCTGTGGTGGAAGCTAACAGTGAAGGCCTCTGCTGCTAGATTCTAATGTTGGTCATCGTGGTGGTACTCAGAGAGCTCAATGTTTTCTCAGGTGGTACAGAGTAGAAAAAGTTTGAGAACCACTGGTTTAAATATTGAAATATTAACAGCTCTCTATTTAGAACCGAAGAAAAGAGTCTTCATGTGAACCTTTCACACGCTATTCTTTCGTCTTCCATTTATAGACAATATTCAGGATTACTACTTGGTACTTTCCATGTCACATCAGGTGTGACCTCAGTGACCACACTGACACACTCACAAGCTAAAAACAGCCAACGTTGTCTTGTGAAAGACATGGCAGGTTGGAGCAACTGAAAAAATGATTATGTTGAATTAATTTGAATGTGTGACCGTGTGGTTATAACGTACAGATTAAAAACTGTGCAGCGGAGTTTAAAGGTCAAACAGAGGAGACGACCACAGTTGTAAGCAGCTGCTGAAATGATACTGTTAAAGTAGAAGTGGAACTGAAGAGTCGGGGGAGATGTGATTCAAGAGGTTTGCTCAATGTGGAGTCAACGTGTGTGTAGGGGCGAGGGTGTGTGTGTGAGGGAGGAAGGGACAGAGGGAGTGGAAAACAGAAGTGATTTTCTTACAAATAAGCACGTTTGAGACAAAGGAGAGACTCAGAAAAAGTTCATCAGACTCTCTGTCAGAACTAACGTGGTGAAATCAGATGAGTTTAGTTTGTAAAGTGGCATGTTCAAAATGAATAAGGAAAAATTAGGTCAGCTCATTGCTCCGGCTACAGAGAAGCTCTGGTAAGAAGGATTTTTTTAACACTTCTGTTACAAAAAAGTAGCGTTTCCTCTTAAAGCCCTGCAAGAAAAATAGATTGTAATCAATGTATTTATGTCACTTTATATATTTGGGTTTTTTTTAGATGCAATTCTTCAACAATTGTAAAATTAGAAATCGTGAATATATATATATATGTGCGTGTGTATATATATGTGTGTGTGTATATGTGTATATACCATATGTGTGTGTATATATGTATCTATATACTGTATAAATGATATTTGTTCAGAACAAATAAGTCTAAATGGTTGCTTCATAAATGTGAAAGAAAATGTAAAAGAGATTTTATTTATTTAAGTCTTTTTTTTAATTTAGATGAAAATTTATTAAATTAAGCTTCAAAAAGTGCAAACCTATCCCTAAGTTCATTGTATAATAATAACGCTGTGGATCTTTTACAAAACGGCAAAAAAAGGAAGCGGCTGCTTACTACTGTTGTCCTTGATGGTGAAGCGTTAGTCTTACATCCAGACGGTCATGGAAACACCTCTGACCTTAAGACCTCAGAGTGTCAGTAGAACTGAGAAGGTGCTTATTGTTGAAAAGTTGCTTTAACCCTAAATGCTTATTACACTGCCATTAACGTAAACGTCAGCATCATTAGCTCAAAGACTGTATTTTTTAAAGCTTAAGTGAACATCTTGTTTTTTAAATGAATGACAAATAACTGCTGTGCTTTACAGGCAACTTCAAAAGATGGTTCAGGACATCAAGAGGAAAGATGGCAGCCT